AATACCAAGTGTTGGTGAAAACATGGAATCGGTGAGTTCTAATACACTGCTGGAAGAAACGTAAATGGTTTCAATCTGTTTGGAAATCTGCCTGGCAGTAAAAACTAAAGCTAAGCATATGCATATCCTATAGCCCAGCACCCCACTCCTAAAGGTATATACATATATCCAAAAGAAATGTACACCTATATTCACCAAAAGACATATGCTAGAATATCCAAAGAAGCACTCTTCTAGGTAGCACAAATCTGCACATGTGCCCATCATCAGTAAAATGATCAAATAAATTGTGGTATATTCATAGAATGAAATGCTACCAGAGTTAAAAGAGTAAAAGTTTGCATCCACATGCAACAATAGGGATCAATCCCTATATTAGTCCATTTTGTGTTGCTGTAAAGGAATACCTGAGGCTGGATAATTTATAAGGACAAGCAGTTTATTTAGCTCACGATTCTGCAGGCTGTACAAGCATGGCACTAGCATCTGATTGGATCCTGGTGAGGCCTCAGGAAGCTTTTACTCATGGTGGAAGGTGAATGAAGAGCACGTGTGTCACAGGTCAGAGAGGGAGCAAGAGAGAGGGGAGGAGATGCCACGCTCATTTAAATAACTGGCTCTCATGTGAACTGACAGAGCAAGAACTCACTTGTTACCACAGGAGGATACTAAGCCATCCTAAGGGTTCCAACCCCATAACCCAAACACCTCCCAATGGTCCCTACCTCCAACATTGGGGGTCACATTTTAACATGAGACTTGGAGGGGACAAACATCCAAATGGTATAAATTCCAGAAATATCATGTTGAAAGGGAAGTCCACAAAAGAATACACACGCCAGGATTCCATTTATAGAAAGTACAAAAACATGAGCCCATAGATAGATCAGAGAAAATACAAAATAAAATAAGATAAAGAAGGTACAAAAACAAATGTAGGACATTAGAAGTGGGATAGAGGCTGCCTGGGGTAGCACCTGGCAGGGAGCACTGGGGGTCGGGAGGTGGTCCTGGGGTGCTGGTAATGTTCTGTTTCTTGATCTAAGCTCTGGTTATATGAGGGCATTCAGCTTATGAAAAATTCTTTCATTTATTTGTACATTTATGATATATGTACTTTGGTTCATGTAATTTCAATTAAAACCCCCTTTTACTTTCAGGCAATTGTGTTGTTATATACTTTCAGGTTAGAACTTGAAACTGGGCAGAGTATCCTCTCTCATCTGTGTTATGCTGTTCCCATGAGGGATGAATTCCATCCAGCCAGTGCCTTCTGGGTAGCTAGAAACTGGAGATCACTGGGTTCAAAGATCAGGTGAAATGTCAATGCAGTATCCCCATTCAATAAGATTGTGTCATAGTATATACAGAAACTACTGAAAGAGTTTTACCTCAGAAGAAATCTAACTGAAGAAATAAGTGACTTAAATGAGATAATGTCCAATGCCATATTATCCAGTAACCAGCAAAGAACTTCTCAGTAAAGAAGCTGTTTCAGTTAAGGCAGCAGGTAAGTGACTCATCAGTATGATGAGAGGAAGGAAATTCATTTTACCTACCCTATGTTTGTGAGTTTATTACACATTAAATAGCTTTACTCAATAATTCAAAGTGAAATTAAGGATGAATTGTGCCAGCCACAGCTTCCAAGCAGCAAAACTATAATAATACATGAGGATTACTGATCTCAATAAATAGATGGGAACATAAGTTGTGTAAAGGGTCCAGAAAGGAGGATACATGATCCTCAGCTTGTAGCAGCAGGTGGCAGCTATTTATCTTCATTCTCTAATTACCTTGCTGTTTCATTGTTACTATTACTTGTTAAGACAATTCTCAGTTACATCAGTACCTTATGAAAAATGTATGGACAAATGAGAGTGTCCTCATTTATTACTCCTACGTGGAACATCTGTAATATTTAGTCTACTGTTTATGAGGCTCTTTATGTGTGCACTTACTGGAAAAATCTGCTGAGCTTTTTATTCTGCAGACAATAAAATCTTTCTGAAAAATTGTGTAATATTTATAAGCCTTAGAACCTAAGATAACAAAGACTTGGAGCCTAATTGATATCTGGATGGTTAATCTCCTGAAACACACCCAACTAATAGAAGAATCAGGGTTCCCTCCAAAAAAACAAAAACAAAAACAACACGAAGGAGACAAAAATACGTATCAATAAAGTTTTTTAAATAAAAATCAAGGAAAGAATCAAGGCAGAATGACAAGGAAAAGAAGAAAGAAACCAGGGGAAGTGAAAAGGAGAAGAAACAGGGAAATGAATATGTGTATTGAGTGATTATCATGGGCTTCACATATGTTATTGCAAAGAAAATCAGAAATGGGAAGTAAGAAAACTGGACAAAGAGTTAAGAGCTACTACTTAACAGCTATAAAGAATAGAGAGAAAAAAAGAAAAGGTAAAAATATATAATTTTGTATATATTTGTTTATATCTACTCCAATTAAGACTCAAAACTAGATTTATATATTCAAATATCAATTTATCATATAGTTTTTACACATTTATCACTTTTTGACAACTTCTAACTGTAACTGAAATTTGCTTGAATGTTTGTGTCAAGAAACTAAAATCCAAAATAATGCCAAAGGTAAAAAATTCTTGCTCTAGGAAGTCCAGAGTTGTATTATGTTGGAGTTTAATATCTTCATTTGCAGAGTAATAGGAAATTATTAAAAAAGGAAATTTTTGGTGAGCCCTATGTGTGTATAAACTGACACATCTTCAAATGAAAGCATGAGAAGTTAGAAACTGTACCTTGGAACTCAGCTTAGAAGTGATTTTCCTGCCTCAGCCTCTTGAATAGCTGAGACTACAGGCACATGCCACCATGCCAGGCTAATTTTTTGCATTTTTAGTAGAGACAGGGTTTCACCAGATTAGTCTCAATCTCCTAACCTTGTGATTGGCCTGCTTTGGCCTCCCAAAGTGCTGGGATTAGAGGCGTGAGCCACTGTGCCTGGCTTAGGGTTAATTTTTCTGTACAACCCATTGGATAATATTCACTCCCTCTTGAAAACTCTTCAGGGGACCTCTACTGCCTATGGGATAGCACTTGCATTCCTCAGTCTGTCATCAAAACCCTCCCTGACCTGATCCAATCCAGACTTTTTTCCAGACTTATGTCCTGCAACTACAGTACCTCAAACTCTCAGCTCTACTCAAACAAATCAACTCACTTTTTCCGGTGGGACCTATTCAGGACCTTATTCAGGTCTTTGCTGAAGCCAGCAGTCTATTCTCTCTCATCTGCAATGCTCTCCTATCACTTCCTCCTGCCAAAATCTTCTGGTCTGCAAAGTCTAGCATAGTTTCTTCCTCCTGCATAAACGATTCACGAATAACTGCAGAGAAAAATCATCCATTCCAGGACTTCTACACCTAGCAAATTTATTATCTCTATCACTCTTAGGTCATTTTCCTGGATACTGTCATGAACTCTCAACTCTGTATATGTTCCCAACTAAATTATAAGTTCTTGGAGGGCAGATATGGAAATGTGACTTTTTCTTATATCTATAGCTGATCTGTACATCACAGAGCCTGGGATAGTGCAGAACACAGAGCATCACTCAATAATTAATTGGAGAGCCAATGAATCAAGGAACTGTTTCATAGATCCCTCTGCAAAACAACAATACTTTACTCTGTAAAAGCAGGTCTTTGACTCTTTGGTCATAAATCCTAAAGAGCCAAGCTCTGAGTCAATGGGCACTTGGAGGAAAGCAGAACTAAAAATAAGCTTTTCCAATTTTATTTTGTGTTTTCTGATTTGCTGCCCCAGAGGTCTGTTTTTGTTTTTGTTGTTGTTTTTGAGATGGAGTCTTGCTCTTGTCACCCAGACTGGAGCGCAGTGGTGCAATCTTGGCTCACTGCAACCTCCGCCTCCTGGGTTCAAGCGATTCTCCTGCCCCAGCCTCCTTGCTGGGATTATAGGCGAGTGCCACTATGGTCAGCTAATTTTTGTATTTTTAGTAAAGAGGGGTTTCACCATATTGGCCAGGCTGGTCTTGAACTCCTGGCCTCAGGTGATCCACCCGCCTTGGCCTCCCAAAGTGCTGGGATTACAGGCATGAGCCACCGCACCCGGCCAGGTCTGTTTTATAGATATAACCTAGGCATATGATGGTTCCATTTTCATAACTAAAAGGAAATATAAATATTACAAATGGCTCTCCTATTATAAATGCCACAGAAGACACAGAATTTAAAAAGAGAGAGAGCATAAAATTCTTCTTTAAATTTCAAGGGCATACTTAAACTACAATTCTAAAGTAAAAATGCAAGTTGGTCAGAACAGTTAAAAGACAACTTATAAAAAAGACCTAGTTACAAAATACATAGCTTTTTAATTTTACTTTTTTTTCCACTGTATTTTAGGTTCTGGGGTACATGTGCAGATCATGCAGGATTGTTGCATAGGTACTTACATGGCAAGGTGGTTTGCTGCCTCCATTCTCCCGTCACCTATATCTGGCATTTCTCCCCATGTTATCCCTCCCCAACCTCCCCACCCCCTGCTGTCTCTCCCCTAGCCCCCTGAACAGACCACAGTTTGTGATGTTCCCCTCCCTGTGTCCATGTGTTCTCACTGTTCAACACCCACCTATGAGTTAATTTTACTTTTTAATACATATGACTTCAAGCTTAACATCTATATATCATTTCCAAGTAAAAATGATGTTGTAAATTTTGTGTGATAAAAATCTCATTTAAAAATATATTTAAGTCCTACAAAAGTATTTTGCTTTCTAAAAATGCTACATATGTTCTTATACTTTTCACTTACCCTGTACAACTATGTTCAAATACTATTTCCCATCTCATGCAAAAATAAATTCCAACTCACTTCTTTATATCACATTGTCATACATTTAAAATTATAGGGATTGGGAAAAATTAGGTTCACTGAAGATGCACATTGCTAAAAACACCTCATGGCATGTGAGTTGCAGAAGAGCTGAAAGCTACTAACCTGAGACATCCTGTGATTACAGGAAAATTACCTCGTCTTTATGAATCACAGTAATCTCCACATCCAGAGAGTGATGGTTGCTTTACATAACTTTCTCAGTGTGTAACATAAATGAAAACTTGTAAGAGTGAAATGATATAGTGCAGTCCTTCTCATGATAAACTGCTTGTATGAGTCTCTGAAGGGAGCACAGGCCCTATTAGGAAGAAAACAAATACTAAATGTCATTTCACTTGATAAATATATGGAACCAACTACAGCCCACGCTGACCTCCTGACCTATGCAAAATTACCCAGTAAAGTAGGGATTAGAAAGAATTGTCTAATATGTGGAGTGTGCCAGAATTATAAGAGCAGTTTAAATCAATAGGCCAATAAATCAATATCTAAACTTTCTATAAACATACAATGCTTTCTCCTAAAATTAAATTGAATGATTTCATCTTATTCCTGGGAAAACTGGAAACATTGAAAGTCAACTCTGATTCCAGGGGCTTAATTAAATGTATACTATCTAAGACAATATTACCAAATTGTACTAAATCATTCCAGTACAATTGGACTGCTCAGTATTTTCCATATTACCAGCTACTTTCATGTCACTTTGACAAGTACTTCTAGTTACTTATCCTTGTTCACATTTTTCTTCTTGTTCATAAGAGTTTGTCATGAAACCCATCAAAAGGCTTTGAGTCATTAAAAAAAATAATGCACTAAAAACCATTTTGTAATATAGACGTCTTGGGGTATATAAGGAGATCCCGAGAGATGCCTGATATAATAGGAAAAGCCCATCCTATAACACCTTGGACCCTAATTGCTTGTGTGCAAGTAGGTTGAACGGATTATAATCTAAGTTTTAGCCTGCAACCATTTTTCCTAGTTTCCTTATCACTTGTGTGTTCGCCAAACTGCCACAAACCATACCTCTTATTACACCCAGAGATTCTCATGATGGCAGGGTGCAGGTGACTTTCCTACTCAGAGATGCTTATGCTTTCCCCCAACATTCCCCCACACCAGCCCCACTCCAATCCTTTAGAATTTGCGTATAGATTTTAATCCCCACCACATCTCACTCATGTGTAGGCACGTGATCTGTGACATTGAGAGCCACAGAAGGTAAGTATTTAGAAGTGCATTTAAGAAGTATCTTCAAAGAGCTACCAGTCAAAGCATCTTATCTCTCCTCATGGAATCTTAGAGCCTGCCTTAACTGTAAGAGCGATGATGTTTGCAAACTGAGTCCCTGTAACAGGCCAAAGCTAAAGGTCCTCCGCCTGGACTTACTCTGCCAGGCTCTGACCTGGGCAATTGACCGTCATCAGCCAAGGTGGCTGTCTATGTGCCTTTCCTTCAAGCATTTGTGCCTAAATGTGTTAGACCTCTCAGATAAGCTACTGAAGACAAAGTCTTCAATGCCCCCATCAGTAAGAGTACCAATGAGAAGAATTGTAGCTAGTGTAGAAGGTAGGAGGCATATGTGAGCTATCTGGGCAGGAGTCTTGTCTATATGCCCAAGTCAGGCACCCAAAACACCTAAAAATATGACTGACTTCCCTTCATTTTCCTAAATTAGGATCCAAATTTGCCTTTGTCTAAAATGCATGAATCATATCATGTTCTCCAAGAAGTTGCTGGGCAAAGATAGAATGGGGTCATAACTATCTAAAAGGAGTTGAATTCCAATTGAGCCCTTTTATTAAATCGGTCATATTTAGTATTGAAAGAAACACTTTATTCTCCTCTTCTCTTTGACTAAGCAGGAAGCCATCTTCTAAGGCAAGGTCTGTACCTTTAACCTTCTGAAATGAGCCATGCATGTATTTTCCTAGGAAGAGGTCAGCACTTCAAACCATGGCTCAGGGGCAAAGCCAGATTTTTGAAAAAAATCTCTTTTCAATAAATATTAACTGAATCTCTGGTAGATGTAAGGCACTACGGATAGAGATAAAACAGTTCTCACCCCATTCAGGACGCCAGAATTTAATATTGGAAGCATACAAATAAATACAAAATTGAAGTGTAGTAGAACCTTTACTTTTGGGATGGATACATCTTGAGATAATGTGATTCCCCAAACTCATATCTTACCTATTTAATACTAAGAATCAAGATTATTTGATGTAATCATCTATAAATAATATAATTGATATGGTTTGGCTGTGTCCCCACCAAAATCTCCTGTTGAATTTTAGTTCCCATAATCCCCATGAGTTGTGGGAGGGACCTGGTAGCAGGTAATTGAATCATGGGGGTAGTTACCCTCATGCTGTTCTCATGATAGTGAGTGAGTTCTCACAAGATCTGATGGTTTTATAAGGGGCTTTTCCCCTTTTTGCTCGGCACTTCTCCTTGCTGCCACCATGTGAAGAAAGACATGTTTACTTCCCCATACACCATGATTCTAAGTTTCCTGAGGCCTCCCCAGCCATGCTGAACTGTGAGTCAATTAAACCTCTTTCCTCTATAAATTACCCAGTCTCGGGTATGTCTTTATTAGCAGCCTGAGAATGGATGGATACAATGATCATATATTCATACAATCATAAGATAATCATCTTGTGTTATTACAAATTATTCAACATCATAGACCTTTAGGTCACTTACAGTGTTCAAAATCACAACGTTAATACCCCTTATCTGGTGTAATGAATGTTAAGATGTGGGTGTGCACCAGTGCTACAAGAGCACATAGGTGATGCAACTAATCCAGCCTGGAGTGGGAAGGGGGAATTGAAGGCTCCCTCAAGGGGCTGATACCTAAACTGAAGTTCAAAAGATGAGTGGGGTCAGCCAGGTGAAAAGAAGGGGATGATTCCAGGCACAGGAAACAGCATGCACAAAAAGAAAGGAACAAAGCCAATAAATGAATAACAACAACAATAACAGAAACACACACACACAAATATACACTGATGGTCCCACACTTATGAAGGTTTGACTTTATGACGGTGTGAAAGTGATACACATTCAGTAATAATTGTGCTTTGAATTTTGAATTCTGATCTTTTTCCACTCTAATGACATGCACTGGGATCCTCTCTCCCAATGCTGGGAAGCCACAGAGAACCACATGTCCCAGTTGGCCACACCATTATGAAGGTAGACAACTAAGACTCAATAGTGTTCCTTGTTGCCAAGTGATTTTGCCCAGCTGTTGGCTAATGTAAGTGTTCTGAGCACCTAGGGCGGTAGGCTATGATGCTCTGAAGGTTAGATGTATTAAATGCATTTTTTTTTTTTGAGAGAAGGTCTGCATTCTGTTGCCTAGGCTGGAATGCAGTGGCGTGATCACAGCTCACCACAGCCTTGACCTCCCAGGCTCAAGCAATCCTCCTGCCTCAGCACCCCAAGTAGCTTAGACGATAAGCATACACCACCACACCCAGCTAATTTTGTTATTTTTGTAGAAATAGGGTCTTCCTACATTGCCCAGGCTGGCCTCAAACTTCTGGGCTCAAATAATCCTCCTGCCTTAGCCTCCTGAAATGCTGGAATTACAGGCGTGAGTCACTGCACCAGGCCTAAATGCATTTTTGACTTATAATATTTTCAACTTGTAATGGGTATATTGAGATGTAACCCCATCATAAGTTGAGAAATGTCCGTCTTAATTATTTGCTATGGGCCAGGCCCTGTTGTAAGCAGTTAACACATATTAACTCATTGACTCTTCCAAATAACTATATTAAATAGGGATAACTACTTCTCCCATTTTACAGATAGGAAAACGGAGGCACAGAGGACCTAAGTGACTTTTCCAAAGTTACATAGCTAGTAAGTGGCAGAGCCAGGATTTGAACCCAGACAGTTTGACCCTAGAGTTCATATTCTTTTTTTCTATTTTTTGAGTTGGAGTTTCACTCTTGTTGCCCAGGCTGGAGGGCAATGGCACGATCTCAGCTCACTGCAACCTCCGCCTTCTGGTTTCAAGTGAGTCTCCTGCCTCAGCCTCCTGACTAGCTGGGATTACAGGCATGCACCACCAAGCCCAGCTACTTTTTATATTTTTAGTAGAGATAGGGTTTCTCCATGTTGATCAGGCTTGTCTCGAACTCCCAACTTCAAGTGATCTGCCTGCCTCGGCCTCCCAAATTGCTGGGATTACAGGCATGAACCACCGCATGTAGCCGAGTTCACACTCTTAACTATACAGATGGTGAGGAGAAAGGGAGGCAGGAAAGCAAATAAGAGGCTGCAGGAGTAGGTAAGAGTCAGATCACATAGGGCCTAGTTCAGCTTCTGAACATCATGGGGAACTACTGAATTATTTCAACAAGAAAAATGACAAAAGTTGATCTGGGTTTTAGAAATTGCCTCTGGCAGTAGTGTAGACTGGCACTGCATGGATGGGTGTACAATGAAGACAGAGAAAGAACTTGGTTAAATATGTTCACAAATAATGATATTAATGATGCTTTGAAATGATTAAATACAAGAGATACTAAGGAGAAAGAACCAAATTAAAAGGACTTGGTGACTCATGAAGAGTTAAGGCAGGGAACATGCCGAAGATGAAGCTCTGATAATAAAGCTGATATAGTACCATGTACCACTACTATCCTAAAATAAAGAAGAAAGAATACAAGGTAAACAAAAGGAAACTTTAGTAATGGCAGTATATAAACTCTAATAAACTCTTCCTTTGGAGTGCATGGAAATACATCCAAATTAGTTTACTTAAGATGTATGCATTTGCGGGAAATAGGACATAAGAAGGGCTAGATATTGGTAACTGATTTTGAAATGCCATAATGGTCAGCAATGCATTACATTTTATATTATGGTATCAGCTGTTTGAACATATGTTCCATAATTGATGGCAGCACTTTCTAGACAGGGACAATGTATCTTATTTTCTCTGCATCTTTTTTGTATTTTTTTATATTGCCCAATAAATGTCTACTGTATAAATACATGAAGAACAGAAAAGAAGGAGAAAAAGAGGGCTCTTGGGTAGACAGTGCCGTGGTTCACCATCAGAGGGAATGCGATAGGAGGTGTAGATTTTAGACTTGGGCATATCGTCTCTGTGGTATCTGAAGAACCACAAAGTTAGATGGATGTGAAGCTCAGGAGAACTTCATTTAAAAATCATCATTGCCTGTGCGCAGTGGCTTACTCCTATAATTTCAGCACTTTGGGAGGCTGAGATAGGTGGATCACCTGAGGTCAGGAGTCCAAGATCAGCCT